ACCTTAATTTTAGGTCAACTTCTATTTCGTTACCTGATAGTACAAAGACAAGTAGGAGTGATGAGTTACAACTTCATTAAACAAAAGCAAAAATCTCAACTCCATAGGCTGACAGAAAGTTCCCATGTCTAAAGTCATGATAAGTTTGGGATTGATTGTTTTTAGCTACCACTGAGGTACTGTGTAATTCAGTTTTGTAAGGGAAACACAAATAGGTCCATCCAGTTACCTTAGAAACTTGCTGGAGTGTCAAGCCATTTGCCATTTGCTGGTTCGTAACCTTACTCATGTTAGAGTTACGATTTAGATTGTCACATTTCTAGGTTTAGTGATTGGAGGGTTGATGAAACTTGGAACCATAAAAATTTCGGTGTTAAAACTCTAAGTCTAACGACCATAATTTGTTTGCCATTTAAATGGACCAAAAAAAATTATAGCTTGTAGTTTAAATTACTAAAATCACAATAGAAATCATCTTTAACACTAGGATTACTTGCAAACCGTTAGTTTCTTAGGTTCTAGGTTTTATGAGATGTTTTTGTGAAATAGTATTGTTGTTAATCCTTATTGAAAAGTAGAAGATTTATTTGAAAATGGATTTTGTTTTGAAACTCAATCACGCTTACGCTAATTGGCTCGGCTGTCAGTTAACGCCTTAAAGGAAACTGAACTGCCGAACAATTATTTCAGTTGGGGATGCAGTTTTTTTCTGTATACTTAAAGATGTTTTCTATATTTTTATAAAGTCGTGACTTAAAAGTAACATATTAAAGCATCATTAAGATTACCTACATGATTATTGTGTCACTTTTTGAAATAGTTTTTTAATAAACTACTACTTGCTAGTCACCCTGTTTAATTTTTAAAAACATGTATGTTCTGTTACTCAGTATGAAGATAAGTGTTGAATTGAATGTTTTAGCTTTGTGTGATTTTAAGATTGAATAAGCTTGACAAAAAATAATTAAATTTTAAATAAAACTATATAGCAAATAGTTCAAACTGAGTACATTTAAAAAGGTTAAAATATTTAGTATAATTATTGTATATAAACTATGTTACTTATGATCTCAGAATTTCAAATGTCACTTACAAATTGAAAGCCAACAAAACTATAATTATTGCATTTATTTTTCAATTTAAATATGTAGAGAGATACACATACAACAGAAAAATAATATTAAAAAATTACTAAAGTTTGCTGTTATTTTTACCTCTAAAACCTGGATGATATGGGTACACATATCCAAAAGCCTAAAATGTGATACTGTATTAAATTCCTTTTTTTCAACTTTGCATTGGCGTTACCATTAGTATTATTGTCTAATAAATTAGTGTATTATCTATCTGTCAAATTTTGTTTAAGTATAACATTTTAAGGGGATTATGTATCACCTTTTGTTAAGTTTAGGTATTTTACAAATGCTAAACCTTCTTAAAACGGAATTGACATGTCTTAAAACAAAAGTCAATTAATCATATAAGAAATTTTGTAATTGTTATTTTAATAGTGTTGTTAATACAGATAATGTTTAATGGATTAGTTATAATACCATCCAATGAAACAATTTTACTACATATTCTAAGATAGCAAAGATCTGTTATCAAGATGGATCAACAGTTGCCATATTTTGTGCCATGTTTGTATTTATTCCTCAGGATGGCTTAAAAATATATTTGCTTTGAAAGCGACTAAGTGAAAATATTGCAACTTTTCTGTTGAACTAGGATTACGAATCCAAAGCTAATTGAAATCTGCGGTGGTAAAGAAAGTGAGCCGAAACAAATATTTAATACAATGTTTGATTATTAATTATTGAAATAATTTAAGAAAACTTGACCCTTTTTGTAAATTGATGTACATTTACTTCCTATTTATTGCTTATTATCTAGTTAAATCACTTATAATGTTTGCTTTTAGGTAATCTTATATTACGCACTGGTATAGTAAATGCAATCAAAGAAGTATAAAGCAAATCATGACATACTTGTACATGTGCAAAAATCAATGATTTTTTTATGCAATACTGCTTGTAATTGTAAATATTGCAAATTATTTAGAAGCTGTACGGCTGCTTTGATTAATTTTAGCTAAGTATTCATACCAGTACTTATTTATAGGTTAACTAAATGATTGTTGTTTATTTAATTATGTTATTTAGAGGTTGTTTTTATGGCACAACATATTGTTAATAGAAGGCAACCTTCACAACTGATGTAAAACTGATTTAGTTTGGAAATCACCCATTGTGCTCAAATTAATATAGTAAATTGAGAAATTTTCTACACTTCATGTTAAGTATTTTATAATGTATAAAAAAATATGAACACTATTTTAATTAGCAGGGTGTTTATAAAAGAATGCCGAGATTTTAAACGGTCGTTGCTCGGGAATTAGTCAAGATAATTAAATTATTTAAATGTCAAATTGAAGGAAAAAGGACAAAGTTTTTCTCGTATTTTGATACAATTCAGAATAATTTAATTAAATTCAGATTTTTATCAATCTTATATAAGCATAAAACTGGCAAAGTCTGTACGATTATGGCGATTGACGAGTTTATATGATATCTTAACTGAATATTTTAGGCACAAAGACTATCTTTTAAACATCATAAAGTGTTGATTTAGGTATGTTCAACTGAAGACTTTGTCGGGCATTCAATTTTTTTGGGGCTTCTGATGCAGAACTGTTGCATTTCTTCGACGATGCCATCGCTTGTTTTTAGCCGGCTAGGTGAATGTCTTTTCAAAACACTACGGTGCCAAAAAACTCATTCAACCAGCATCAAATTTCTTTATCATCAAGTTTATTTATATTTGGCTTAATTTAACAATCGATATAAACTCTGTGAACCACAGATTACACTCAGTGTCTTCTGTTGTGCCGTAAACATCGTACTGGCGACTGGCGTCATGCGAGTTAGTTGCAATAGTGGCCTATCACCCCGCACCTGTTTTGTGCATGCCAAGATCAAAGTTTCCTCCCTTGCTACATTGGAAAAAAAACTTAAGTTTTTTTAGCTTCAATTTGACACAACAAATGTTTAGTTACCGGTACCTTGAATAGTATCCAAGCAATTACAGTTTTAATTCCCGGCATTCTTTTAAAAACACCCTGTATATTTTTTAAATCAAGTTAAACTAAAACAACAAAAAGTGTTTTTATTTATTCTTAAAATGTACTTTGTGTTGCAGTTTTCACTTTTCTGGTAACGCTTATTTTTCAACTGTACCTAGTGTTAAACACAATTTTGCTGTGCTATTTGTAAGTTAAAATGTTTTTGATATGTTCAATAAAAACACATTACAATCTAATGCGTCTTGGAACTGTTACAGACACATTTTCCTTTTGAAATTTAAAAACATTCCATTCAGAAATTGAGTTGTTAGATGAAATATAACTAAAACGATTAGAAGATTAGACAAACTAAACTCCTGGCAATTTCAAGCAGGACAATCACGATGTGAGGCGAAAGTAAAACTCACTTTGCTTTTTCCTCACACACTTTAGTTTTAATCAGAAATTGTTATAACAGATATTAATGTTGTTTGTATCTAAAATAAACCAGTAAATATAAAAACTAAACAGTTGTCAGTGAATGTGGTGTTCGGTCAGTATAGGTCAGCAACTAGCTCGTGACGGTCTCGTACTTCTCCCACTGGTTATGTAGGGTCCTTGCGAAGGCACAATTTTCTGCACACTTTTATATTTTTGTACTTATATTTCTTATGCACATATGTATAAACTGTAACTATTTATATATATTTTTATGTATCTGTATTTAATTGTGCCCATTTTTGTGTTCCTTCTCCCAATGTGAATTTTATTGTAAATTTGGTTTGGATCCTGAAGTGTATATTGTGACATGATGGCAATCTTACAATAAGATTTTGATGTTTAAATGTGCTTGTTTTACTAATTCCACCATGTTTTATCCGTACTCTAACCATAAATGTTTGGGGAAATAAGCTTGGTGTATTATAAAATCATTTTCAAGCGTACAAATATTTAAACAGATTTAAATTTATTTAATAGTTATTTTTAATAGATCTGACCGGATCTAAACCATGATTTTGAGTATCATTGCAAGGTTATTGAGGTTGAGAGAAAGAGAAGAAATAGTTTTAGGTTAAAGGTACTCAATTAGGAAATCCAATAGGAGACCAGCCAATATGCTTTGTATGTAAAATTATCATGGTAGAGTATGTAGATGTTTTTGAAAGAACTTGATTCTTCGCCTGGTAACTTACCAAACTACTGAAAACTTCCTACCTCGCAATGGATAAACTACCCAAAAATGGTACATCTGGATTACACGTATTTCAGTAGTGATAATTAATCTCCTAACTGGAGTTCCTACAGTTAGTCGACACTTTTGTTATGTTTTGATATTGTTCTCTGTTTAGAAGATAGGGGATCCATATACTACATAATATTGGGTTTTTATAAATATGAGCCTAAATTCACAATGGAGATTTTACTCACTGCTGCAATTAATTTAGCAAAATGAATAAGAATAAGAAAGTTTGAGAGACTCAAAGATCAATTATACATTCCAGAGGAATTGAAATATTTACTCAGAAAAATGAAATGTGCAGTAGAACTTATCAACTTAGCCAAAGATGAAAACTTGTGATTGTTCATACTAGTATGATAATGCTGTAATACCAGTGTGTTTGAAAGAATGAAAGAAAAAAATTTAAAAGAGTTTTATTTTATACTAATTTTTACTTCTAGTAATTGAAATTGTCAAGTTCTAAGTTCAATTTATAATAATGTTATTTAGTTCCAGGTAACACCAAAGCAATCTACGACAAGAATTCTCCGGACTGGTAAAAATATTATATTTAACACAGTTTAAATTTAAATCTTTGGACGTGTGACCAAACACCTAGCAAAATAAAATTTACCAAATGTATAAATTTATCAAGTTAGACAGTTTTTGTTAATATAGCACTGTGTAGATTGTCTTTTTCAACTTTTCTCTCTTTTTTAGGTTCCACCTGAACTAATCTGCAATCATTGGCGTGCTAGTGTGATATTAGATAATGGGAAAGCAGAACAGTAAACTCAAGCCAGAAGTACTTGAAGATCTTAGGCAAAACACAGAGTTTTCAGGTAAAGTTGATCACTATTTTTGACAGTGATAGGTTAAAAAAACCAGTTGGTCACTTCTAGATTAATTATTTTAGTTTGTATCACTTTATTAGGCCTATATTTTAAAACAAATACTCCTTAAATACATATCCGTAAAACCCGATTCAAATGTGTTCTTGTGGTATTATGCAGCAAGGCACTGAAAGTTAAGCAACAAGTTAGTTGTGACAATATTGTGGTAAATTTATTGATGTACAATAATTGTTGTGCATTTATAATTATTTAAAAATCAATAATTAAGTGGAAAATTCATGCCACGCCAAAAATATATTTAAGATTCAAAATAAATCATTTACACCGAAGAAGTCCTTGTAAAACATTTTCCAGGAATATATAGATTTAACATTTTATAAACAGTATTTCTTGGAAACATTTTTCTGGGTCGTTAAACTCACTCTGTATAAGAAAATCGCCCATTTCTGTACAGCTGAGCTTTAATAAAATTTTTGATTTCCAATTTATTAGTGATGGTCGTATCCGGATATCGGACTACCAGATCCGCCAGATCCCAGCTAGAACCGGCACCGGATCGGATCCAAAAAATTCCGGATCTTGGGCTGGATCCGGTTTTGATGGATCCGATTTTTTCTGATTTTCCCCGATTTTTTTTAGTAACACAAATCTGTCTGTATCCATGTAAAAGACTGATTTTTCCCGATTTTTTTACTCAATGAATGTCACAGTACTGTATATTACGACGCCAATAACCTGTATGGCTGGGCAATGTCACAGTACTGTATATTACGACGCCAATAACCTGTATGGCTGGGCAATGTCACAGTACTGTATATTACGACGTCAATAACCTGTATGGTTCGGCAATGTCACAGTACTGTATATTACGACGTCAATAACCTGTATGGTTTGGCAATGTCACAGTAATGTATATTACGACGTCAATAACCTGTATGGTTAGGCAATTTCACAGTATTGTATATTATGACGTCAATAACCTGTATGGTTAGGCAATGTCACAGTACTGTATATTATGACGTCAATAACCTGTATGGCTGGGCAATGTCACAGTACTGTATATTACGACGTCAATAACCTGTATGGTTCGGCAATGTCACAGTACAGTACTGTATATTACGACGTCAATAACCTGTATGGTTCGGCAATGTCACAGTAATGTATATTACGACGTCAATAACCTGTATGGTTAGGCAATTTCACAGTATTGTATATTATGACGTCAATAACCTGTATGGTTAGGCAATGTCACAGTACTGTATATTACGACGTCAATAACCTGTATGGCTGGGCAATGTCACAGTACTGTATATTACGATGTCAATAGCCTGTATGGTTGGGCAATGTCACAGTACTGTCGTCAATAACCTGTATGGTTAGGTAATGTCACAGTATTGTATATTACGACGTCAATAACCTCTATGGTTGGGCAATGTCACAGTACTGTATATTACGACGTCAATCATATCAAATAAAATCATCCTTTATTCATAATGTACAATATATACATAGTGTCAATTATTAAGAATACCAACATAAAAATAATATAATACATAAAATAAATAACAATAACCTGTATGGTTAGGCAATGTCACAGTACTTTACATTACGACGTCAATAACCTCTATGGTTGGGCAATGTCACAGTACTGTATATTACGTCGTCAATCAAATCAAATAATACCCCCGCCGCAGCAAACCTGCAGACTAAGCGATTTTCCATTTGACTGATTGGATTTACACTGAAATGTCTACTTAAAAATATAACATTTATTCTTGATTTAAATAGAATTAGTTTAACAAGTACTTAGGTTTGCTGCATCAGGGAGGGTAAAACTGTTTTTTTTTTTTTTTTTTTTAATGTGAATAGTTAGTAAGAAATGAAAACATTTTCCAAATTTTATCAAAATATGTTCACAAACCAGCAAACTACAACAGTTTACTTATTCTCCATAAGAATAACATGGGAATTTTAAATTTACAATTTTTTTGAATTTTCTCCGTAACCATTAGGCGCATAATAACGCTTCAATATACTAAATTATTTATTTTTTTAAGCTCTACAAAATGGTTTGGAAAGAAATTGCAAAATTTTATGTTTTTTGGGTCAAAAATGGGAAAAACCTATTTTTACCCCATAAAACCCCCCGTAAACCCCCGTTCCCATGGTTCGATCATGGTGGATCGCGAACTCGTTCGAATAAACGTACGTTTACACGTTTGTACCAAATTTCACCAAAATCGGATCATTTTTGCTCGAGTTATCGTGCTGACGGACACATATATATATATATATATATATAAATATATATATATATATGAATTTGAACGGATGGTGTTTTTGGCCTCTAGGGACCTCAAAACGAAAAAAAAAATCGGTCCCGCGTCCAGGTCTTACCATGAGTACTACGGTAATAGCTTATTCCCTATATGGGAAATTCGCTAATATATGGAAAATTCGCTAAAATCATCCTTTATTCATAATGTACAATATATACATAGTGTCAATTATTAAGAATACCAACATAAAAATAATATAATACATAAAATAACAATAACCTGTATGGTTAGGCAATGTCACAGTACTGTATATTACGGCTAGGGATGTGTCGAATCCGGATCTCGAATCCACCGAATCTTAAGAAAAGATCGGGATTCGAGAATATATATATATTTTTAAATAGAATTATGAGGCATATACTGTAACATTGACTAACCATAAAGGTTATTGACGTCGTAATATACAGTAGTGTGACATTGCCCAACCATAGAAGTTATTGACGTCGTAATATACAGTACAGTGACATTGCCCAGCCATAGAGGTTATTGACATCGCAATATACAGTACAGTGACATTGCTTAACCATACAGGTTATTGACATCGCAATATACAGTACTGTGACATTGCTTAACCATACAGGTTATTGACGTCGTAATATACAGTACTGTGACATTGCTTAACCATACAGGTTATTGACGTCGTAATATACAGTACAGTGACATTGCTTAACCATACAGGTTATTGACATCGCAATATACAGTACAGTGACATTGCTTAACCATACAGGTTATTGACGTCGTAATATACAGTACAGTGACATTGCTTAACCATACAGGTTATTGACGTCGTAATATACAGTACTGTGACATTGCTTAACCATACAGGTTATTGACGTCGTAATATACAGTACAGTGACATTGCTTAACCATACAGGTTATTGACGTCGTAATATACAGTACAGTGACCTTGCTTAACCATACAGGTTATTGACGTCGTAATATACAGTACTGTGACATTGCTTAACCATACAGGTTATTGACATCGCAATATACAGTACTGTGACATTGCTTAACCATACAGGTTATTGACATCGCAATATACAGTACAGTGACATTGCTTAACCATACAGGTTATTGACATCGCAATATACAGTACAGTGACATTGCTTAACCATACAGGTTATTGACATCGCAATATACAGTACTGTGACATTGCTTAACCATACAGGTTATTGACGTCGTAATATACAGTACTGTGACATTGCTTAACCATACAGGTTATTGACGTCGTAATATACAGTACTGTGACATTGCTTAACCATACAGGTTATTGACGTCGTAATATACAGTACAGTGACATTGCTTAACCATACAGGTTATTGACGTCGTAATATACAGTACTGTGACATTGCTTAACCATACAGGTTATTGACGTCGTAATATACAGTACAGTGACATTGCTTAACCATACAGGTTATTGACGTCGTAATATACAGTACAGTGACCTTGCTTAACCATACAGGTTATTGACGTCGTAATATACAGTACTGTGACATTGCTTAACCATACAGGTTATTGACATCGCAATATACAGTACAGTGACATTGCTTAACCATACAGGTTATTGACATCGCAATATACAGTACTGTGACATTGCTTAACCATACAGGTTATTGACGTCGTAATATACAGTACTGTGACATTGCTTAACCATACAGGTTATTGACGTCGTAATATACAGTACTGTGACATTGCCTAACCATACAGGTTATTGACGTCGTAATATACAGTACTGTGACATTGCTTAACCATACAGGTTATTGACGTCGTAATATACGGTACTGTGACATTGCACAACCATAGAGGTTACTGACGTCGTAATATACAATACTGTGAAATTGCCTAACCATACAGGTTATTGACGTCGTAATATACAGTACTGTGACATTGCCCAACCATACAGGTTATTGAAGTCGTAATATACAGTACTGTGACATTGCACAACCATAGAGGTTATTGGCGTCGTAATATACAGTACTGTGACATTGCCTAACTATAGAGGTTATTGACGTCGTAATATACAGCACTGTGGCATTGAGTAAAAAAATCGGTAAAAATCGGTCTTTAACATGGATACAGACAGCTTTGTGTTAGTAAAAAAAATCGGGGAAAATCGGAAAAAATCTGATCTATCAAAACCGCATCCAGCCCAAGATCATCAACTAATAATTTTATTTTAAGATTTGGATATGTTTTAGTGTCCCCAAAAAATGAGGGATTATGGGCTCAACTGGAGATTACTCTATATATAAGATTTATTAACCTTTAAACTTTACCAATTTAATTTTAAACAGTATGTTTTAAATTGGCATTCTGTTAATTACGATTTTTTAACAAGTCCTTATGACAGTGTGTATTTGGATCTGGATCCGAAGACCCAAAGATCCGGATCCGAATTTTTCAAGATCCGGATCCGGTACCGACATTTTCTTGGATCCGCCCATCACTACAATTTATCAAAACATATGATTTTGATTGTCCTGAACATTACTTTTCCTGTTTAAAACAAGTACCCGGGGACTGAGCTTTGCTCGGGAAACTTTATCACTACACTATACTCTGAGAGTATTCTTTGGTCAATGTAATTATATCCCAAAAATAATAATTTATGGTACAGTATATTTTTCTTTACATCTATTTAACTTCTACAGGGTCCGGCAAAAAAACCTCCCCGGTTTGAGCATGACACCACGTGAGTTGTAGTGGGGATAGGGATGTGGAAGGGGTAGTGTTACGTAGCGGCGTACGTGCCATTTTCATTGTTGCCTTGGCTTGGCTCGGTGTGCATCGGGCGTTTGTTGTGGAGGAGTTTATTAAAAATGGCGGTTCTTTGATTTCTACTCAACGAGCGTTTCGGATTTGATTCGAACTTGGCCGACGTGATAGTGTTCCTGATGCGAAAAAGATTAGACTGTGGGTGTCAAACTATAGACAAACATTGTCAGCACTAAAAAGAAAACCAACTGGACGACCTCGTACTGCAATAACACCGGAGTATGTGGCGCAAGTGAGAACAGTCTCCAAAGCGTTCAGCGGTTAAACATGCAGCTGCCCTGGGATTGTCAGAAAGGAATGTAAGGAGAATTCTGCACAAAGAACTTCATCTGCATCCCTACAAAATAATGGTTGGCCAAAAGTTGTCTGAAGAAGATTATGAACCTCGCAGGGCTGCATGTGTTCCACCCAAGTGGAACTGGGCTTCATTAGAAGAAATGAAGACAGCATCTGGGGGAATGTTTTGCAAAATGTAATAACATGCAGCCCTGCTAGTTTCAAAATCTTCTTCAGACAACTTTTGGCCAACCATTATTTTGTAGGGATGCAGATGAAGTTCTTTGTGCAGAATTCTCCTTACATTCCTTTCTGACAATCCCAGGGCAGCTGCATGTTTAACCGCTGAACGCTTTGGAGACTGTTCTCACTTGCGCCACATACTCCGGTGTTATTGCAGTACGAGGTCGTCCAGTTGGTTTTCTTTTTAGTGCTGACAATGTTTGTCTATTTGTCTTTTTCACATCAGGAACACTATCACGTCGGCCAAGTTCGAATCAAATCCGAAACGCTCGTTGAGTAGAAATCAAAGAACCGCCATTTTTAATAAACTCCTTTACAACAAACGCCCGATGCACACCGAGCCAAGCCAAGGCAACAATGAAAATGGCACGTACGCCGCTACGTAACACTACCCCTTCCACATCCCTATCCCCACTAAAACTCACGTGGTGTCATGCTCAAACCGGGGAGGTTTTTTTGCCGGACCCTGTATTAAAATAATAATATCATAGTTTACTGAAATGATGAGATAGAAGAGTTTTTAAAAATTTGTTTGGTTCCCCAAACGGCCCAAACTATAGAAATTACCCAGTATTTTTCACGCTGAATTTGAAAAAGGCTATCAGCAGTAAGAAAATCTTCGTCACAGCAAGAACTTGGACTCGCTCCGAAACCAGAACCGAAACCTTTAATTTACCCTTAATTTTTAAAATGTAATAAGTTACAATTTTCCGAAAACCCAGGACACTTTCTGACTGAAAAAAATTACGTTTGATCCTTGTTGGTGAGTACCAAAAAGGAAACTTCTAAGTTATAGGTATAAACATGGTTGTATATCCAAGTTTGGTTGTCCTCGATATAATTGCACTATTTTATTGATACTGACAAATTATAGAATAGGCTGGTGGAGAATTCTACCTACCTACCTGGAGAGTGATTCGATAGGTAGCTATATGCCCTATAAGTTAATTGGGAGTTTATTTTATATCTAGTCCTAAACTTATAGCCATCTTAAGGCAAACATAACTAAAACCTAACCCTAGCCCTAGAGATATAAATATAAGTGATATAAATATAAACACTCATCCTCTGTAGGCCTGAAGCTACCTACCTATATTTTATTTGGGTTAGGATTAGTACTTTTTTGAGAGAGTGTCATTATGTACTGAACACACCTAGATGATATAGGGTATTAGTGATTCATGAAATTATTCATTTATAAAAAGCAACCTAACCGAGTTACCTTAATGATGTACCCAGTATTTAATACAAAAAAATGAAGCTTATGCCTATGTATATTAGTTTTAAAAGGGAGTAGAATAAGGCACGTATAATTTAGATTAGGCATTGATTAGTGTTAATAAACTAAACATGGATGAACCACTAAGTCAAGCTACTAACCCAGTTGTTGAGGCTAGGCTAAACTGAGTCCTGAAAGCATCCATCTCAAAACGGCCAAAACTTAAGAACAGATCCTAGGGTTTGATTTATTTTCAACTTTATTTTTCTGAAATAGATAGCTAAATTGTCCAGTGCCAACATCCCACACTGCTAATAGCAACACTCAAACTTAGTTAGGTAAGCTAGTTGTAGGTTACAATTAATTATTATCCCTGTGACCGATTCAGTGTAACATCTGACATCAGTCAGAATCAGACAACATTATTGACAACGACACGACTCGACAACCAACAAAAAGAGTAATTTAGTGATGATAATTATTATTAAAAGCATTAAAATTAATAAAAAATAAAATATATCGCTCGTTTATATTGGCAAAAGTATTAAATAAACAGCAATAAAGCTGAGGATAATGTAAGAATCGTTTTTTAATGGATTCAAAACTTATTACTCTGGAATGTTTATAATGTAATACAAATTCTTATACATCAAACGATTTAATGAACTGGAGCAAAGTCGAGTCGTCCGCTTTCTCTCTGTCTCAAGTTGACAAAATTGTATGTCAGAAGCTAATACACGTCAGAAGTACAACAGTTACCTCGGAAAGTGCTTCAAGAGCTTTCTGCGCATCCGCAAGCTGAGGTGCCCGTGGGTACAGAACGTCGAGTTATGTCTTAAAATGTAAACAAATGACAATAATGGCGGAATGTTTTCTCATGAGGCCCATGTTAAATTTTCAAAAGTTTGTACTCATATCACGGCGAAAATAGATTTTTCCTGGCTATACCACTGGTCTAGAACTTATTTTTGACCCAGAACTTAGTTATTCCGTAAATATAAACGTTTTTGTTAGAGCCGATTACCAGATCAAAGTAACAATTATTCAAACTTTACTCGTATTATATATAGGATACTTTTCCTGTTCCTTGCAACCAAAGTTCCTGCTGAGCTCAACAGGAGCTCTATGTCATGTATTATTTTATAATCAGAATTATTGTTCAAACATGTTAATTTTAAAAGAGAATTTCTATACTATCAAATAATATTTTATACTAGTGCACATGTTGCTAGAATTTGAGCTATTGCAAAGTATTACAGGCGTTATTTCAAAACAAACAGTCATAATTTCCGATGACTTAAAAGAATCCACTCAAAGATAATGCCATCAATCACTCCACTCCAGTTATCGAAACTGAAAACGAACGCTCTTGTGTGTCATGTGTTTACTATGAACAGCTGTAATTAATACAAATTATACGTCTGTTTAAGTAAACAAAATCCTTTCTTCATAAGAAATACATTGGAATTTTGATGGCCTGTGGGGTAAAGCCCGAGGACTTCTATTACAGGAATTGGTGAAAGTCTATACAAAAAAATCTTAATTTTGACACATTGTTTGTAAAAATCCGTCCATTATTAACGGAGACTAGGGTTTCGTAGAAATCGCCTTCACGTATTGGGATCCTTCCTTCGCCTTCAAGTATAAGGATTTAAAACCAAGAAGGTTTTAAATCTTTGTTTTAAAGGTTTTGAAGGTTTTAAATTTTTGTGTGATTATTTACACTCTGATGAAAATTTATCAATCTTCGTCACAAAAAGACATTCATCATTTCGGGGCCTTGATAGCTGTATTCGGCACTCAGCTTTTACTCACTAGTAAACCCTGTTACTAAACAACCAATATCTTGATTAAAGGTTTTTTATGTGTAAACCACTATCTTTTCCCTGAAATGGGTCACTGTCGGGACAAAAAATAGTAAAAATATAATTATAATTGTTTTATTTAGGATTTGGATCTACTTTTGCTTTGTTTTGCTAGATGCTGAGATACAAGAGTGGTATAAAGGTTTCTTGAAAGACTGCCCCAGTGGCCACCTCAGTGTGGACGAGTTCAAGAAAATATATGGAAACTTCTTTCCCTACGGCGACGCTTCTAAGGTAAATGATATTGAGCACTGAATAGCTTACCTTCATGTCAAGTAAAATTTAATTTACAAAATATATTTATGGTGGTATGGCAATATTTGTTACTGTGGTACCAATTTGAAAAATCAAACCTCTTGAACTTAATCACTTTGATCAGTTCAACTCTGTTTTTTTAATTCATAGTAATGTTTAACGTTCCAGTAGTAGGAAATGAATTCTTACCAGTTCCCCCTCCCCCATTTCTTGTTTGTTGATTATGAAAGTTGTTTAAACAACAAAAATCTGCAATGTTACCTCTATCCTTAACATAAATTAAATGTTGAGAAAAGGAAATGCATGGAACAGTCATAATGCAGAGAAGTACCAGTAACTCTTACCACAATCCTTCAACTCTAAACCAAACAGGATTCTTATTACCCTCTTAAATGTTATTAATTTCTGACCTACTCAGTACTCAGGCTTGTAGTCATCTTCAGTAAAAAGCAACTCTATCCAATTTATTAATAAAGTTATTTGTATGCTCTTGGCTTTGTAGTTTTTGGCCAAGAGTGATGCCAAGAAGCTTTACTGACATGGTCATATTGTATTGTTCAATTTGTCTCAAAGTAAATATCATTTCTGTTTTACTTTTACTTAATTTTAGATGGTTAGTTTAAACCAAACAAAAATTGGCGGTAGACAGTTTCTCATTAATAGGATTATATCACATTATCGATAGAGTTTCCATTTACACACACACGTGTCAATTGCAGTAAGTATGGTATCACAATCTAAATAAATTGTGTTTGTGAAGGTGATCACGACAATCTAAACGAACAAGCCAATCATTAATTTACAGTATTAGTATTAGTAAATAATGGCCCAGGACTGAACGTTGTGTTAGTCCAGTAAGAACCTTCTTAAAATATTTCGACTGATCGGACACCAAATGTAGCATATCACCATGTTTTGAAAAAATTTAACTTTTCATTATTTGTCCCGTAATTAACTGGTGGAAACATTATTTCAGTTTGCCGAACATGTGTTCCGGACGTTCGATGCCAACGGAGACGGTACCATCGACTTCCGGGAGTTCCTGTGTGCATTGTCCGTGACCTCCCGTGGCAAACTGGAGCAGAAGCTCAAGTGGGCCTTCAGTATGTACGACCTGGACGGCAACGGCTACATCTCACGACAAGAGATGCTCGAGATCGTTACCGTAAGTTGTCAGGACTCTGTGGTGTATTGACATTTTTATATAGAAATGGGTGATTGTGCAGTAGCTGTATTCCACCTAGACATCTTTGACTTTTACCTATCTTGAAATTTGTACGTACATTCAGGGCCGCTTTAAGGGTCAGTAGAGCCCTGCAATTTAGCTATGGAAATAGCTCTTCAAGAAGTCAGAAGGACAGAGGTATGGATTACAAATATAAATATTCTAGCATTTGCAGATGACATAGTATTGAAGCACTTAAAAATACAAGAAAAATGGTATTGAACATCACCAAACTCAAAATATATAAGACAATAACCAGTTCCCCTGTATGGATCAGAAAATTGGATTATAAGTAAAAAATAAACAGAAAAGAAATTTATAGTATTTGAAAACAAAACCATCAGAAATGTGGACCCCATAGCAAACTCAAAATCAGCGCCCCCCCCCCCCCCCCCCCCTTTTTCCTAGTGCGGGCGGGCAGTAGTTTTACTGCCCGTTTATGAAAGCGGACCTGCGTATATTTTTCCCAGTGTATATTTCCTTATGGTGAACACAATTCATAAAATGTTATTTTACAGTAAAGTTACTATAAATGTGTACAGTAAAGTTACTATAAATGTGTACATTAAAGAAAAGATAATTTGTTTCATGTTTTTAAGTACAGTAAAATTGTAATTACTGGTTTGTCTCATTGTAAACTCTCCTGATCAATTGTTGGATATCCATTAAACACTGTGTAAGCTTGTACAAAACCTGATCCCGATTTTTTTTTAAATCTCTGTGGAATTAAAATGAAAATTTTATAACATTGTTGTAATGGAAAATATGGTGTTTATCCATTGCCACCAGCTAAAGGAACAATTTTTTTAGTAGTAAGGATTTTTTTATTAATCATGAAATTTGCTAGTCTATTGTTCTATGCCTAATGTGTATATTTGTATATTATGTTATATAATAAATCTTCTGTCTAAGGCATTTTCTCTGCAGTAAAAAGTGAAAGAGTTCTTCTGCGTAGTAAAAAGTGTTTTAATACAATGTTTACTTCACCTAGGCAATTTACAAGATGGTGGGTTCAGTCATGAAAATGCCCGAAGACGAATCCACCCCAGAGAAGAGAACGGACAAGATTTTCCGACAAATGGACAAGAACCAGGACGGAAAGTTGTCTCTGGAAGAGTTCATAGAAGGAGCCAAAAGCGACCCATCCATCGTTAGGTTGCTACAGTGCGACCCTCAGGCCCAATAATCAACATTATCATATTAATACAAACGTACAAATTAATTTATTAAACTAAATAGTTTGTTCGACTTAAATTGAAAAGCACGATCGGTTACAATCACATTGGATCGGTTCCGAAGATAAGAAAAACGTCAAAGACGAGAGAATCTGCATTTCAAGAGCAATCTCATGTGAAATTTCTCACTTAAAAATGTTTTTATGTAAATTTGTAAAATAAAGTAAAAATATTTTTTTCTAAGTAGTGGAGAATAGTTTGGTGGTCATATCTCAGTCTTCCTCAGAAGGACGTCGGGATGTAATGTGGTTGTAGCGTAGCTTCGCTCATATCAGGATAGACTTTCCACGATTCGTGCGCATTTTGTCAGTTTTGTGTTATTAATTGTATAATATCCGATTTCGTTTGTTGTTTTGAGTGCTATGTACATTGTTTAGAGTTAATGTAGTGCTATTTTTTAATGAAGATATCCTATGAGTTAGAGTTTTGTAACGAGGGTGTTACGTCAATTACAGTTCAAGTTGACTGTTTGTATCTAGACTCGTTCGTGCCCGGGTGCTATCACGTTTGTTTCAGTGCTTCAGCAAATCAGTTAAATTGGTGTTTCTATTAACTAAGAGTATTTCATAGGCTTTTCATTGTAGTTTAGATCTGTTGTCGAGGGAGATTTATTTTCTGTTATACATTATTTAATAGTGTTTTTGTTTTAAAATGTTCTTATATTTACTAATCCAAATAATTATACTTTTGTAATTTCTTTTTTTAGTATTATTTATGGTGAAATTGAGAGTTTTGGAATAATAGATATGAAATAAGATAAGTTTGATTGAAATGTGTTTCCGTATGAGATTGAAGTGACCTTATTTAATTCTAACTTTGTAATGAGCCACCACACTGGGTTAGTCCATTTTCTAGTCACGTTGCACTTCAATGTTTATCGTAAGCTCTGAAATACTCTTCAGTTAGCGCTGGCCATATCAAATACTTTCCGTAATTCTATCTCGTTGTTGATTGTTAAAGGTGTTATCTGTTCTAGAACCACTTATTAACCGTTTTCTACTTCGACACTCGGTGTCTGCATGTTGATATCTTGTATATGATCCGATCTTCGTCTAGACTAGAACTCTCCAAACGGTTTGTAGCACTGGTCACGTCTTCACGGATTGTAACATAATGTAAATAGGCTTGTTCATGTTCACTTGAAAAATGTGATAAATTAAAAATTAATAGCAGATTTGAAATAATTATTAACATTGTTAAATGTTAGCGCAAAATATTTATTTTGTAAATGGTACCGAGTCCATTGATTTTTGAAGTTAAGTAAGCCTTATTGTTGATCCCGAGGTTTTCTATTTTAAAGTAGTTTTAGGTTTTCTCACTGTCATCTTTCACCTACCCAACATTTTTTATACTTTGAATCGTTCAGGGTGCTAAGACTCATTTACAGGGTGTATAGAACAGTAAATCATGTCGTCTTAGTTTTTGTAGTCTACTCGTAAACTACCAGAACCTTTTGCAGTATTTCTTTTCTAAATGCACCATTTTTAAAATAATTGTTTACTCCATTAAGATTTTGGTGTGTTCTATATATATTGCCCTTCAGAAATATATATAGTAATTACAATATCTTGATGTAGTTGTACTATTAAGAGTTAAATTTTGCATGAATTTATATAAACCCCCACACAGTTGACATCTTCACTTAGCTTCTTGTTATTGCTACATTCTCTAGACAGTGAATGAAGTCAGTTGAGTGTTCATTACATTGAATGTTCAGATACTTCACACTTTATTTGACTGGATTTGAATATTATTTATTGCTCTTTATAAAAGAGATTATTCCCTCATTGTATCATCACATTTATTTTTTGTGTATAGCTCCATAAATAGTTTTTAGTCAAATGCAAACTCCAAAGCAAACAGATTGAACATTTTTCTTTGAATAAAAACTGTTAACCATCATACTAAAAATAGTTACAGTATTTTATTCTGTTAGTAACAAGTCGTATGCATTTTTAAATCTTATAACTCAGTGTTAAAGTAGTGAAATTTGGTTGTTTCCTTTTCACAATTTCTTGTTTTTTATGGTATAACAAATTAAATGTGAAAAGTACTGTTCAACTATTATTAATTTTATTCGCTTTGGGGTTTTCAGTCATTGGTTATAGTCTGCTGTTTCTGCCTTAATGTGTTGTTGATTAGGAAAAATAATTTAAACAAGTATTATAAAGGGTAATCACTGTTTGTATTTTCACTCTAAGATTTTCTGATGGTTCAATTAACGGTTTTATGATTTCGTGAGATATATTCGTTTAGAATATATGAATTTTTTCTACCTTTTTGAGTGCATGGATCTCTTATTTTTGTGATTACAGAATGACTTAAAATATTTAAAGTTTTTGATCAATAGCTTAATTCTCATACTCCATTTGGTTTCATAAGTATATAATTTTGCTTTGCAGTTTTATTTTCCTTCAATCATTGAAGCCATTTTTGTATCATGAGCTTTTTATTTTGTAATGTATGTTCTTTTTAATTAATAGTTTCACAACATCACAGAACTAATTTTGCTATTGCCTTTTGTTGGTGAACTGATATAAATCACCTAATATAACCCAATATAAGTCCAAGATCAATTTGTCTCCCTATACTCTTAGCCGTTTAATTTTATGATGTAATCAGATTTTATTGAGGCATTATAGGAGTTATAAGAACTGCCCTTTTGCATCGAATGTACACTTTCTTCCATCTCTGTTTGTAATTTAACTATTAGGCTTTAAAATGTATTACATAGTAGAATCTATATCACGATGAATTTGAACTTGTAACCGTTTTAAATTGTTGTGTTAACACCTCTATATAGTCACATTTATAACACTGTTGTACTCTTAGGTGAATTACAGTAATGTTTTGCTCAACATTAAGCTTTTAGACCTTAAAGTAACATGTTACTAAGTATGTTGTATTTCAGCCACATACAAAATGTGTTACCAAATAATTGTTCTATGAGATTTATTTACTCATTGATTTATTATTTCTTATGGAAAACAACAGTTTCAGCAGAATCTTGATTATTGTTTCTATTTGTGATTTTCTTTTTTAACAAAACGAAACCTTAATGCTAGTCGTTCACTTTTATCACTTATTATTTAAAAGCATGTTGCATGTTTGTTTCATTTCTATTTCTAGTTTTGACACCCAGCACAAAATACTGTTATTTTTTACCTGTTCCTCACTTTCCTCTTAGAATTTTCTGGTGAAATACTCTATTTTTTTTAACCTTTTTTGTTAATTCTGCTGTCGACATGTTTTAAAACCTTATTTTCTAATGTTTGGAGATTGGAAGTAATTAATTAATTTATAAATTGCTGGATTTTTACCTTACAATGCATTAAAAGTGTTGCGCAAAATTGTTTGTGTTTTCTTTTAGGATAAAACCTGTTAATTTTATCATGTAATCTGATTTGACCAATACCAGGTGATACCAGGCGTTGTGAACTTTTAGTTGCCTAAAGAATATTCATTTATTTTTTAGCTCATTCATAAGATTTTGAGGGAGCTGCAATTGTATATTTGAAACTATTTTTTATCATTACAGAGATTTTAAGACCTAAGAGTCCCCGTGCGGTACCGGGTTAGAATAGGACCGCAGCCTCCCTCGGCTTGTCGTAAAAGGCGACTAACAGGGGGTGGGAGATCCTTCTCTTTATGCTCCCAACTTTCTCTGAGGCCAAGTTTGCTTCTTACCTTTGGCTTGTACCTCGAAATCTTTAATCTTTCCTTTTTACACTTCTTTTTTTCAACCCCGGTTTGGGTGTTCTTTTTCGACCGGCGTTCACTATTGAGCCTTGGGAGTGCCCTTTCTGTGCAAAAGGGCTGTTTTGTGCCTCGCACTGCCGATGGGACCTCTCTGGTGTGTCGTCAGGAACCAGCCCCTTCGGGCCCTAGTCAGGGAGTGCGGCATGGGTGCAGAGGTCGGGCTCTGCACTGCCACGGGCGACCCCGGTACGTCAGGATTCTCGGTACTAGGCAAACGGAGACCGGGCCCCAGGGAACTGGGGTAGGGGCTACGTCCCCGAGGGTATACCCGTTCCTGGTTATTCCGGGCCGTCCCTTGCCGCACGATGCGCTGGCAAACATTTTTATGGCTTTTTCAACCCCAGGTAGCATGGAGGGCTTGCTTGGCAAGCAGTCAGAGGAGAATGCGTTTAAGAGGAGAGGGTGTGTTTCAAGGTCACCCCCTCTGACGGCAGAAAATATATCGTTGGCACCTTCGCTGGTAAAGGGAGCGACTGTCTCCCCTCCACCGGTGCCAGCTTTCAAGTCTGGTGAAGGGCTGTTGGAGGAACACCTTACAACAACGTTGCAGTCGGAGAGCTCAGGGATGGTGCTTCTGCGTCAGAAATACCTTGACGCAGAGAGTAGCATCGAAACCCGGCTTCGAGACATGGAGGAGACCATTAAAGCTATGCTGGACACCTTTCGGACCCAGAAAGCTGTTAACCAAGTGGTCAAAAATGGCATGGCCAAGCTAGAAGATGACCTTGGATTCGTTTTTGCCTGCCGGTTGGTAAGCAAGGCGGCCATGGAGAAGATTGCGGAGAAGGTAGTGTCTATGCCCGACGACAGGGCGCTGCCTTCCAAGAAACGCAGAAGGCCATCCACTACGGAAAGCCCTCCAAAAAAGGAAGAGGCTGTTCAGACCACAAGGGCTAAGGTTAAGGCTAAGGCGACCCAGACAGACCTTTTGTCTGCCGGGCCCAGGTCTTCCCCAGATGTAGCTGCTTTCCCAACAAAGCGTCTACAACCTCAGCAACCCGTGACCCCTCTTAGGGGAAGCTCCCGTAAGGGATCAGTTGTTGAGACACCATCTGGGGCTGCATGGGAAAAGCGTCTTACCCGAAAGGAGAAGAGGCAGCAGAGGCGGGCGGAGGTCACCTCCAAGAAAAATGTGGCGGTAAAGGCACAAACGACAAACGTTGCCCAAATTGGGCCCGGTTTGGCCCCCGCTCTTAACCCATTCCTGACTGAGTTATTTGTCTAGTAGCATGCAGTTAGAACTGAGTTAAAATGGGCCAATGGGCAGTGTTTTAGTAAAAAATCCATAAAAATTGTAATTTATGAAATAAATGGCTAACACTTGTGTTTAAATTGATCTCCATAAAATTTCCTTTTATGTGACACTAATTTCCAATCAAAAAAATTTTATCGCAATTTTAAAAATATATATGGATTTTATATATATTTATAAACAAATATATTTTATGAAAGCATACCTAAAAAAAGTATTTTTAATTTTTTTTTCAATCAATTTCTTGGCCAAATTCATAAATAGTATTCAATTCCTTACATAAAAAACTTTATTTGGTTTGTTTATATATAAAATCCTTCATTTTATAGCTATTTTTGTAAAACTCTGCAAACAACAAAATAGGCCTGAATAGGCCTAATAGAAGCTTTTCACAAAAATTGCATGTGTACTAAGTTATGGTGTTGTGAGTATTGAAATAAATGGTAAATTATATTCTTAGCATGATTATATTAATTTTTAACTATAAAATGGGTAAAATTAGTTGTCAGGGAAATTTTAGGGAATTTCAGGGAAATTTCCCGGAATTTTAGGGAAATTCCCCGGAATTTCAGGGAAATTTTAGGAAATTTCAAGGAAAACAAGTTTCGTTCCAAATATCTTTGTGGGTACTCAAAGTGTTGGGGTTTTCATTCTCAATATGATTATATTATAATTATTCTTACCACCGGACAATTACCAAGCATATTATAACCAAAAACGTGATTCGTCTTATTTCATACTTGAATACTCAAGAAAACCTTATAGCCTAATATAATAAATATAAGATTGATCACTTACTTTTTTTGCTTATTTGTGAGCTCCAGACCTCTCTGCCACAATATTATATACAGTTTTACACTATTTACACACTATTTACACTCTATTTACAACTTTTTTCTGGGTTTCAAAAGTTTGTTTGGGTGTGAAACACCTCGAAACATGTTTCTAAGTGCAGAGGCACAAGGCACTTCCTGCACTCGTAAACGGTTTCACTTCTCCTGCCTTGAGCACTACACACTCTACACTTCCTTGAAGGCCTTTGCTTAGAAGTGGGCAAAATCTTCCTTATAAAATGACCCCAATGCCTGGCCTGTAACCGCAGTGGTGATTCAGCTGCAACCGATGGCCTTCCTCCTACTGGTCTGTTAGTTAGATTGACACTTTCCAAAATCTGTTCAGCCAAATTTATCCTAAATTTTGACATAGTAGACTTTTTCTTTGTTACAATCTCATGAATCACTCGGGCATTGTTCAATGTAACATCGAAAAGATAAAAAAACAATTTCTTGTACCCTTTCATGCACTTGCGCATCACCGGGAAGCATGAGAGTCGTTGGTCTTGTTTGTCCACACCGTTCATATTGTTATTGTAGTTTATCACAACATTTGGTTTGAGTTGTGGTTGAGGATTTGGACGTCTTCTCTCTCGTTGTGGAATGACTTCCTCATATTCCGGTCGGGTATGGATGGTTGATAGCATGGCTACATCCTTTCTGTCCTTCCACTTTAGGGCTAAGATTTTCTTAGTGTGCAAAAAGGTAAGTTCACCTAATTGGAGCTGTCTGTTTTTTATTTCTTTTGGAAAGTTTGTTCTATCAGACCTCACAACTCCTACAGCGTACGTATGCCTGTTCAAAAGCTCTAAAAAGAGTTTAGGTGAACTATACCAGTTGTCTAAGTATAAAACCCGGCCTTCATCCAACAGATCTGCACAAATTTCTAATACAATTTTTTCACTAAGTAAAAAAGATTTCTCCGGGGTTGCAGCATTTTCTGTCAGATTTTCGCCAACCTCAAGATTTTCTCCATTTTCAGGATCATCTACATTCTCCTCATTTTCTTCTTGGGGATGTATATCTGTCTCTTTGCCAGTATAAATTTTGAAGTCGTAACAATAGCCAGTTTTAGAGTCATTCAACTTGTATATCTTTATACCAAACCTGGCTCGTTTTGATGGGTTGAACTGTATATAGCTCAGTCTGCCTCGAAATTTTATTAGGCTTTCATCAACACAAATTTCTTTCTGAGGAGTAAATACTTTCTTATAGGATGCAATCAACTTCTCAATAATAGGCCTAATTTTTCTTAGTTTGTCATTAGGGTCCACAGAAGATGAGAAATGCAAAAAACGAGAGATAGTTTTGAATCGGTCTCGTGACATCGTTTCGCCAAAAATAGGTTGATGCAAAACCCTTCTCGTCGACCAGTTGTCATGGATATTAGCTTTCACATTTTGTGCCATGAGTACCACTAAAGCAAAATAGGCTTTTAGTTCATCAATGGTCAAATCTACCCATTTCACATTAGGCATGCCCTCATCTAGGTATTTGTGAGCATTCCTGTTTGTTTCGTCACATACCTGTTCCCAAAAATTATTTCCCAAAAACTGATCTAGCACATCCAGTTCATTGCTCTTGTCTGTCAGTTGTCTAGATATAACAGGATTTATCCCGTGTTTCCCGGTAAAAGGAATATTTTCTACCTCATTTTCACCCTCAAACCAGTCCCAGGGCTTTGGTTTTGTTATGCGTTTTCGAGGCCTAGGCCTACGAACGGGTTCATTACGGTTCACACGGTTACGTCTGCGAATAGGTTCACGCCTAGGTCTACGCCTATTACGACCAGGATTCAGAGCTCGATTTTCAATATTTACATTATTTGGAATATTTACATTATTTTCAATATTTACATTGTCACTTTCTTCAACATTCGGTAAATCAACGTCATATTCATCAAGAGTAGGATTCAAGGTTGCTAGGTTAGCCGAACTACAACTTGGTAGACTAGACACACTTGGAACACTTACGTCTTCATCACTGATAATTCGTTCGTCCTCTTCATCACCACTCACTTCACAACCACTTTCCGCTAAAATATCATCAACAAACTGAGCAAAACGATCACTTTGTAAGAATAAATCATCGCGACGAAACGCCATAGCAACAACAAAACGAACCGCTGTTGCACAACTAAGGTTAGAATACAACGTCATGACAACAAATCAATAATACAACAAAAAAAACATTACAGGCTACCAGCAGACAACGCATAGAGTATAAAAACAAAGTATAGTAGTGAATAAAACATAGTGGATGGTTATTGATCGTTTTTAATCATGAGAACAAAATATAATAATGCATTATGCGTGAGGACGGGCGCTGCCCGTCTTTAGTCTTTCGTAACCTGGCGCGCTAGGACGGGCGCCGCCCGTCTTTAGGCGGGAATGGGTTAAAAGGTCGCGGCCAAAAAAGCCCAGGACGGAGGCAATCTTGGTTAAGCCCTCAGGGGGGAGATCATTCGCTGAAGTCTTGGGTATAATAAAGGCTAAAGCTAAGCCGGAGCAGACCGATACGGTTGTGCGGTCGATTAGGCAAACCCGGGGCGGGGACGTCCTCCTTGAACTGGGTAAGTCAAAGGACAAATCCGCTTTTGCTGCTGATCTAAAGGCAGCCGTGGAAGGCCAGGGCACCGTCCGTGCACTCGAGCCTAAAACGTCACTTGAGGTTCGGGACATAGATGGTGTGTCGACAGAGAGTGAGGTGGTTGAGGCCCTAAAGGAAGCAGTCCCCGAGCTTGCCGGAACATCGGCTGTTCTTAGGGTGTGGCTCACAAAACCAAATAGAAACCAGCAGCGGATGGCGGTCGCCGAAATGGCAGACGCACACGCTAGTAAGGTGTTGGCACTCCAGCATTTGAGGGTCGGTTGGGTCAACTGCAGGCTCAGACGGAGGGTGGAAGTAACCAGGTGTTTTAGGTGCCTCGGTTTCGGTCATTCCTCCCGAAATTGCAAGGGGCCCGACCGAGGCAAGCACTGCCTCCGGTGCGGAGGGGTGGGTGACGCTCGTAGGGACTGCCAAGTCGAATCTTGCTTTCTTTGTAAGGAAAATGGGCTCGCGGACAAAAACACCAAACATATAGCTGGGTCTGGGCAGTGCAGCGCTTTTAAAACTGCGCTTCAGCAAGCAAAAGCCCACCCACGAAAATAAGAATACTCCAATGTAATCTTGGGCGATCCAGGACAGCTGACGCGCTTCTCAGTCAGCTTGCCCTCGAACACGGTGTCGACGCGCTCTTGGTCAGCGAGCAGTACCAGTACTGGAATAGGGTCCCACCCTTTTCGTTCCCCGATAGTCTTGGTACTGCTGCTTTCTGGGTGCGTAATACAGCTCAAGTGCAAGTGCGGGGTCATGGAAAGGGCCGTGGATTTGTTTGGGTTCGGTGCAAGGACGTCACCTATTACAGTGTCTACCTCACCCCTAACGAGGCTATCCATGACTTCCGCGAGAAGATAGACCGCTTGGAAGAGAGCGTGCAGGACACCACAGGGCATGTAGTCGTGGCTGGTGATTTCAATGCTAGGGCCGTCGAGTGGGGACTGACCCTCACTAATTCCCGGGGGAAGTACATCCTGGACTTTACTGCCAGAGCCGGACTCGTAATCAACGAGGGCAACACGCCAACGTTCCGGCGACCCGGGATGAGGGGAACGATCCCAGACATATCAATCAATCAATCAATCAAATCACTTTATTTGTCCTTGTACATGTCATTACAAGAAATGGCGTCAAATATAAAACTAAAAAAAAACAATACAATTATAAATTTAAAAAAAAAAACTACCACTACTGCTTCATAATTTTGTTGTATTCATAAAATTCCTCTATTGAGTACATGGGTTTGTTGATCAAATATATTTTCAATTTACATTTTAGTTTGTTATTGTTTTTTTCTGATCTTAGTTCATTCGGAAGTGCTTTAAAGAATTTATTGCCAATGTATGTCGTCTTTTTTTTTTAAAATTCCAATCTATGTTTTTCAAAATGTTTTTCGGTCTGTCTTCTTGTATTATATTGATGACCTATTGGTTGTACATAAGTTTTTGTTATAAAAAATAAGATACATTCAAAAATATACAGACCATACACAGTTAAAATTTTAAGATTTTTGAAGTGTTCTCTTGCGGAGTCATCATCTTCAAGTTTGAGCATACATCTAATTGCTTTTTTCTGTAGGTTTAGAATTGTATTCAGATTATTTATTGTTGTTGCACCATACAAGCCAATTCCATAAGAAATATTAGAGTGAATCAGAGCAAAATATATTTGTTTTAGTACAGGCAATGAGCATAGGCTGGCCATACGCCTTAAGGCGAATAAACCGGAGTTAATTTTTCTTGATATATGTTCGACATGTTTGTCCCAGCATAGGTTTTCATCAATATATAGACCTAAAAATTTAGCCTCATTCACTTGTTCAATAATTTCATCTTCAATCATTATATTTGGAGATATTTTTTTACGATTTTGCTTTGTGGAAAATGTAATAAATTTAGTTTTATTTGGATTTAACAAAAGACTATTATTATTGAAGTATTGCTTTATATTAGCTAGTTCTATAAAACTTAAATATTCAATTTCATTTTGGTTCTTTGCTGAGATTTTTAAATTTGCGTCGTCTGCATATAAACATAAATTACTATGGGGAACAGTCTGTAGCACTTCAGGAAGTCCGGTTATGTAACATAAGAACAGCAAAGGACCCAGAATCGATCCCTGTGGGACGCCACATGAGACCAAACATAAGTCCGATGCTGCGCCCGTGATCCTATTTGAAATGGTTTGGTTAATTTCAACATACTGATATCGGTCGGAAAGGTATGACTTAAACCAATTGTATGCAACTCCCTTGACACCAAAGTTCAATAATTTATCAAGTAATAGATGATGATTTACGCTTTCAAAAGCTTTTGTTAAATCCATAAATATGCCCACTACGTTCTCCCCTTTATCTATGGACTCTATGATGGATTCAATAAAAGAAACGGCTGCAGTGAAAACCGATTTTCCGGGCCGAAAACCGTGCTGGGACATATCTAGAATGTTAGAATTTTCTAAGAATTGGGATAATCTTCTGTACACAACTTTTTCATAAATTTTTGAAAGGGATGGCAGAATCGAAATTGGACGATAATTGGACATGTCTTTTGTAGAATCTTTTTTATGTATAGGTACAACTTTGGATATTTTTAATTTTTTTGGAAAAATGCCAGATATTAAAGAAGAGTTAACCAGATGAACTAAGATTTTACATAGGTGTATTTTTGCAGATTTTATTATAGTTACAGGAATTTCATCAAACCCATATGATTGCTTATTTTTTAAAGAATCTAATATTTTAATAATTTTGTTTTCATCTGTGGGCTCACAGCGAAAAGTCTGATTATGAGGAGAGAAACTACTTGAAAGACTATTTTTCTGTACACTAGGTTCTATATCTGGTTTTGTTTGAAGATCTTTTATACAGTTTATAAAATAATTGTTTAACAAATTACTTATAACTAAAACATCAGATACATTCTTATTATCTACAGTCAATTCTAGATTTTGTTTGTTTTTGGGCAGAACTCCAACCTCACTATTTACTATTTTCCAAGTTGTTTTAATGACATTTTCTGATTCATTTATCTGCTTATTATAAAAATTGGTTTTTGAATCTTTTAACATCTAATATATAAAATTCTCGTGTCACAGTGTTTGTCTGCAAACTCCTCCGGAACGACTTCACCGATCGTTATGAAATTTGGTGTGTAAATTCTGTAGGTATGCGAATCGGACGTAAACTATTTCCCGTTTCGAAATTCTTAAAAGGGCTCCGCCCCAGTGGCTCTGGAGTTTCCCATGTTAACCTTATGAGAAATGGAATTAATGAATCATAACAGCTATTTCAATTAAACAAGTTGGTTCTGTTCTATGATGTTCAATAGCATTAAAGTTACAAGGATTACCAACAGGGTGCAGCACTATTATTTCTTTTACATTTATGACAACAGCTAATTTGCAACCAAAAGGTGAGTGAGCGTAGCGAAAGAACTTCAACCTGGAGGCGAGTTAGCGTAGCGAACGAGCTAACCTGAAGGCAAGTGAGCGCAGCGAACGAGCTCCAACCTAAAGGTAAGTGAGCGTAGCGAACGAGCTCCAACCCAAAGGTGAGTGAGCGTAGCGAACGAACTTCAACCTGGAGGCGAGTTAGCGTAGCGAACGAGCTAACCTGAAGGCAAGTGAGCGCAGCGAACGAGCTCCAACCTAAAGGTGAGTGAGCGTAGCGAACGAGCTCCAACCCAAAGGTGAGTGAGCGTATGGAACGAACTTCAACCTGTAGGCGAGTTAGCGTAGCGAACGAGCTAACCTGAAGGCAAGTGAGCGCAGCGAACGAGCTCCAACCTAAAGGTGAGTGAGCGTAGCGAACGAGCTCCAACCCAAAGGTGAGTGAGCGTAGCGAACGAACTTCAACCAGGACGTGATTGAGCGATGCAAACGAGATCATCTTGAAAATTAAACGTAACGGTACTTTCTTTCCATCGGTCTGTCTTAGGGGAAACCTATAACTTAGGCGATACGAAGTTCGCCCGGGTCAGCTAGTTTTCCTATATAACTTATTTTTCTCTTTAACACATTTCTTCAATTCTTTATTTTTTGTTACTCTAGCTTCTTTTTCTAAGTCAATAATATTGTTTCTTTGCTGTTTTATTTCTTCTGTGACCCAGGATTTTTGTTTATAATTTATCCTTTTAACTTTTTTAGGAAAAGCTAAGTTAAAATGATACATAAAAATATTGAGAAACTTATCATATTTGTCCTCCACACATGAAAAATAAACTTCATTCCAGTTTTCACTTTTAAGTGATTCAAGAAATAGGTTTACATTATCTTTTGAAAAGCATCTCTTATATTTTGTTTTATTTCCACCTTCCCAATGAGGTATATCAAATAAAAAATCTAAAATTTGACCATCGTGGTCAGAGAGATAAGTGATCACACCTTCTACTTTAGTTTGTGCTTTTGAAATAGATGTAAGGAAATTATCAATACATGTTTGACTTTTTTCACTTATTCTTGTGGGAAATGTAACTAAGTGAGACATACCATGACTACTCAACAT